GAATTGTAGTTGCTGGGATTTATAGTTCACCTACAATCAAAGAGCACTCTGAATCCCACGAATGACAGAATTGGGCCAAACTTCCCACACAGAATCCCCAAGGCCAACAGAAAATACTGTGTTTTCTGATGGCCTTTGGTGACAATTTTGACACCCAGGGGTCCCGACTCCCAGGTTGAGAAACACTGGATTAGCTGGATTCACACAATTCGGAATCCGGCACCTTTTGAATCTCCGATATTTTTGGGACCAAAGCAGAAATTCACCTGATTCTTGGCACGCTGGGTTCCCGGGGCCGCTGGGCATCGGAGTGTGTTTTACGGGGGAACGAAACATTAAAAACCCTTCCACTTGGCCTATTTTGCGCTGGCAGGCGCTTCGAATCAGACGCCGTTTGGCACCGGATCAGCTCGGCTTGGCAGCTCGGCTGGTACAAAAAGGGAAAAAACCGGAGTCTCTGGAGCCGCGGTGGAGGTATTAACAGATGGAGGGATGTTGGCGGAGGACAAGATGCGGAGGGAGCCGGAGCGGGACGGGCAAGGCGCACCACCCATCCATTGGCCTTGCACGGCCCCACATCTGCCGCCGCACTACGAGGACTACAAGGCCCATTGTCCACTTGAGAAGGCAACGCCACCCATCTCTGGCCTCTTCCAATTAGGAAGCTGGAATGTTAAAGGAGAGGCGAAGGAGAAGGGAAAAGGAAAACCAAGGGGGCATCTGCACTGGAGATTTAACCCAGTTTGATACCATTTTGCCTGGGCTCTGTAGTTTGAAAAAGTACCAGCCCTAACCGCTAACGGAGAAAGGGGATTAAGTATACATTTGGAAGGCCTTCGTTGCTTATATTACTTTAGGTTTAAAGCATTATTTTCCTAGAAAAGAATATTTTTGGGTGTTAAGAGGCCTCAAAGCAGGAGAAAGGAGAAAGGTCTCTCAGAGCTGGAGAAAGTAGGCCTTCCCAGAGCTGGAGGAGGGAAAAAGTAGGGCTTTTCAGAGTCAGAGGAGAAATTGGGTCTTCTCAGAGCTGGAGAAGGGAGAAAGTAGGCCTTTTCAAAGCCAGAGAAGGGAGAAAGTAGGCCTTCTCAGAGCTGGAGAAGGAAGAAAGTAGGGCTTTTCAGAGTCAGAGAAGAAATTGGTCTTCTCAGAGCTGGAGAAGGGAGAAAGTAGGCCTTTTTAAAGCCAAAGAAGGGAGAAAGTAGGCCTTCTCACAGCTGGAGAAGGAAGAAAGAAGGACTTTTCAGTCAGAGGAGAAAGCAGGTCGTCTTAGAGCCGGAGAAGGAGGAAAGTAGGCCTCAGAGCTGGAGAAGAAAGTAGGGCAACTTAAAGCCAGAGAAAAACAGCAGGTCTTCTAAGAGCCAAAGAATGGAGAAAGTAGGCCTTCTCAGAGCTGGAGAAGGGAGAAAGCAGGCCTCTGCAGAGCTGGAGAAGGGAGAAAGTAGGCCTCTGCAGAATTGGAGAAGGGCGAAAGTAGGCCTCTTTAGAGCTGGAGAAAGGAGAAAGTAGGCCTTCTGAGAGATGGAGAAAGTAGGCCTTCTTGTCAGAGCTAGAGAAAGGAAAAAAGTAGGTCTCCCAGAGCCAGAGGAGGGAGAAAGTAGGCCTTCTCAGAGCTGGAGAAGGGAGAAAGTAGGGCTTTTCAGAGTCAGAGGAGAAAGCAGGTCTTCTCAGAGCCCGAAAAGGGAGAAAGTAGGCCTTTTCAGAGCTGGAGAAGGGAGAAAGTAGGGCTTTTAAGAGTCAGAGGAGAAAACAGGTCTTCTCAGAGCCAGAGAAGGGAGAAAGTCGGGCTTCTCAGAGCTGGATAAGGAAGAAAGTCGGGCTTTTTAGAGTCAGAGGAGAAAGCAGGTCTTCTCACAGCCAGAGAAGGGAGAAAGAAGGCCTTCTCAAAGCCGGAGAAGGAAGAAAGTTGGGCTTTTCAGAGTCAGAGGAGAAAGCAGGTCTTATCAGAGCCAGAGAAGGGAGAAAGTAGGCCTTCTCAGAGCTGGCGAAGGGAGAAAGTAGGCTTTTCAGAGTCAGAGAAGAAAGTAGGTCTAATCAGAGAAGGGAGAAAGTAGACCTTCTCAGAGCTGGAGAAGGGAGAAATTGGGCCTTTTCAGAGTCAGAGGAGAAAGTAGGTCTCAGAGCTGGAGAAGGAAGAAAGTAGGCCTTTTCAAAGCCGGAGAAGGGAGAAAGTAGGCTTTTCAGAGTCAGAGGAGAAAGTAGGTCTTCTCAGAGCTGGAGAAGGAAGAAATTGGGCCTTTTCACAGTCAGAGGTGAAAGTAGGTCTTCTCAGAACCAGAGAAGGGAGAAAGTAGGCCTTCCCAGAGCTGGAGAAGGGAGAAAGTAGGCAGACAGATAGTTTTATATTGGACCTCAAGGATAATCTAGACAAACCTAAGTAGTTAAAATGCATCTTCAATGCGGTCTGACACCATTTTAACCACCCTGGCTCAATGCTATGGCATAATATTATTCCAAAGCACTCCCACCTGTCTTGATTTGGGCACTATATTCCTGTTGCGGCAGCCTGGAATCGCACTGGGGTTTTTGGCCGCTGTGCCACAGCCGTGTCTCATATCTTGCATGAGTCAGGCCTTTGAGGCCGCGTTCGATCGATGGTGACAGACGGCGATGTATATATTTAGTGGTATTAACGAAGATCGCAGGTGGGAGGGAGAGGGAGCCATCGACTGCTCTCTCTAAAAGGTAAGAAATCCTCCTCCTAATGGGAAAAATTGATTCCTCGCAGAAGCCGAGTGAGTGACTCTTAAAAACGCCGTCGTAAGGGTGACGGCTGATTTCGAAAATAGAGTTCCTTGGTTTGGAAAATGCTTACACCCGAGAATAGAAAGATGGAGCATGATCGCGGCTTGAGAATCTAATCAGGTCTCAATGTTGTGTTGGCGTCAAGAGACAAAAAATGGGATATAAGTAAATAGGGCATACCATAATATTATAATATAGTATATTATGAATCCAAACAATTATGGATCTGGACTACACTTGGCATTGCATACCCCACATGCCCACATTTGAATACTGGTGGGTTTTGGGGGGAATGGCCTGGACATTTTGGAGTTGTAGGTACTGGGATTTGTAGTTCACCTGCAATCTATGAGCACTCTGAACTCCACCAAAGATGGAAATGGACCAAACTTGGCACACAAACCCATGACCAGCAAAAAATACTAGAGGTCTTTGGGGAAAATTCACCTTGATTTGTGGGAGTTGTAGTTCACCTACATCCAGAGAGCACCGTGAACACAAACACCAATGGATCTGGATCAAATTTGGCACACAGACCTAATATGCTGAAATTTGTTTACTGAGAGGGGTTTGGGGGGAACTGACCTTCCTTTCTGGGAGTTGTAGTTCACCCACAACCAAAGAAACTATGTCCTCCACTGATGATGGACCTGGACGACACTTAGCACACAGAACCTTCATGACTAATGCGACCTACCGGAGGGGTTGGAGGGGACTGACTCACCAGAGTGGGAGTTGTAGTTTACCTTATAGCCAGAGAGCACACTGAACCCCACCGAGGATGCATTTAGAGCAGGGGTAGGGAACCTTTGGCCCTCCAGCTGTGGTGGACTTCAACTCCCACAATTCCTTGAGGCTCGGCATTCGCCCCAAAGGCTTACCTTGGCTCAATGCCGAGCCTCAAGGAATTGTGGGAGTTGAAGTCCACCACAGCTGGAGGGCCAAAGGTTCCCTACCCCTGTTTAGAGCAAACTTGCCAAACATAACAAACTTTAAGCAGTGATGGAGTTTCTCGGGGTTAACCTGACATGATGGGAGTTGTAGTTCTTCCACAACCTTATGCATTTGGTAAAATTACAAAATTGACTTTTTCAAATAACTCAGGTAATGCCGGGCACCCAAGCTAATATAATATAATATAATATATTATAATATAATATATGCAATAAATATAATAACTAATAATATAATATCATAACTATGACATTAATATAATATATACAATAAATATAATAAGTAATAATAATATAATATAATATATGCAATAAATCTAATATCTAATATAATATAATAACTATGACATTAATATAATATATACAATAAATGTAATAAGTAATAATATAATATAATATATGAATAAATATAATAATAATAATATAATATATGCAATAAATATAATAACTAATAATATAACTATGACATTAATATAATATATACAAAAATATAAGTAATAATAATATAATATATATGCATAAATATAATAACTAATAATATAATATAATATAATAACTATGACATTAATATAATATATACAATAAATTATAATAATAATATAATATAATATATGAAATATATAATAATATAATATATCTATGACATTAATAAAATATATACAATATATTAAATAATAATAATATAATAAAATATAATATATGCAATAAATATAATAACTAATATAATATAACTATGACAGTAATCTAATATATACAATAAATATAATAATTACTACTAATAATAATATAATATATGCAATAAATATAATAACTAATAATATAATATAACTATGACATGAATATAATATATACAATAAATATAATAACTAATAATAATATAATATATGCACTAAATATAACTAATAATATAACTATGACATGAATATATCTACAATAAATATAATAACTAATAATAATATAATATATGCACCAAATATAATAACGAATAATATAATAACTATGACATTAATATAATAACGAATAATATAATAACTATGACATTAATATAATATATGCAATAAATATAATAATAATAGCTAATAATAATAATAATAATATAATAGCTATCAACTCCCCTCCTTTCTCCTTTCCCATTTTGCAGGTTCTAAGTGTGTAAAAAGTGTGTTTACAACCTATTTCTCCTGCAATTTGAGCCTCCAACAGAGAATGGCTTGGAGGAGTTCAATGTCTGAAAGGTGGGCAAGCGGCCAGGAAAGCAGGGGGACGCCCTTCTCCGCCCCCAACGAAACCCAATCCGGAGGCCGGCAAGAGCAAACCTTGGCCAGGATCCCTGGGGAAGGCGAAGTCCAGCTTCTCAGACTTTGCTTCCAGGCCTTGGCTCTGTTTCCTAAGGGAAGCAAGAGGCAAACAGAAGGAATGGCGTACCCCAAAAAAGTCCACCCCAATGGGATCTACGATGCTATCGTGGTCGGAGCGGGCATCCAGGGCACATTCACTGCTCAGCAGTTATCCAAGCGAAGGCAGAAGACCCTCCTTCTGGACCAGGTAATGCTGCCCAATGTACTCCTTAATTGAGAACATCCTGGATGGACTACTGCCGCACATTATACATGGGGTGGCCCTTGAAGGTTGTTCGGCGTTTTCCCAATCAATTGGGAAAAACAACCAATGTCCAGGATTCAAACAATAACCCGTTGTAAAGTCCTATATGCTTGGGGTTCAAGGTGTTTGAAGGACCATTACTTCCCATTACGACCCAGTTCGAGTTCCATGGTCTTGTGTTTTATTATACTAGCTTGGGGACCCGGTGCTGCCCGGGTTATTAGAGAAAGTAGGTAATGGCAGTTCTGTATGCCAAGTTTGGTCTTTATTGGTCATTGGATGACGGTTGCATTGTTTTCAGGAAGTGAGTGAAGGTACTTGATGTCCCATCATCCATGGTCCACCCTCCTCCAAACAGCAGCAGGACATAGAGTGGGTCATGGGGGCTCTGTGTGCCAAGTTTGGTCTTTATCAGTCACTAGCTTGGGGACTCGGCGCTGCCCGGGTTATTAGAGAAAGTGGGTAATGGCGTTCTGTATGCCAAGTTTGGTCTTTATTGGTCATTGGATGATGGTTGCATTGTTTTCAGGAAGTGAGTGAAGGTACTTGAAGTCCCATCATCCATGGTCCACCCTCCTCCAAACAGCAGCAGGATATAGAGTGGGTCATGGGGGCTCTGTGTGCCAAGTTTGGTCTTGATCAGTCATTGGATGAGGGTGGCAGTGGTTTCAGTAAGTGAGTGAAGGTACTGCAAGTCCCATCATCCATGATCCACCCTCCTCCAAACTGAAACAGGATGTAGATAAGGTCATGGGTGCTCTATGTGCCAAATTTGGTCTTGATCAGTCATTGGATGAGGGTGGCAGTGGTTTCAGTAAGTGAGTGAAGGTACTGCAAGTCCCATCATCCATGGTCAACCCTCCTCCAAAACTGCAGCAGGATGTAGAGTGGGTCATGGGGGCTCTGTGCATGAGGAGAAGCGGGTAACACGTCGTTGTTGTTGTTATTGTCATTGTTGTTGCTAGGCATATGGGGCCTTCTCAATGGATGGATGGCAAGCTGTCACAATGCCCTCATTCAAAGAGAATTCAAGTCCCCGCTCAGCTATGGGAAGCCCACTTTGGGCAAATTGCACTCTCTCGGCCTCAAAGGGAAGCCTTTCTCCTTTTCTCTCCCTGCAGTTCCTCCTCCCGCACACCAGAGGCAGCTCTCATGGACTAAGCCGCATCATCCGCAGCGCTTACCCACAGGACTATTACACGGCTATGATGGGAGAGGCCATCCGCCTCTGGGCAGAGCTGGAGGAGGAGACGGGAGCCCAGCTCTACAGGTGAGGCGGCCAATCCGCTCCAGGTTATAGTCCGAACTGTAGTGCTCTGATCAAATCTATTGAGCCCTATGACGTCAAGTATTGCCAAATTTAGAGTTATTATTATTGTCATTATCTGCCATTTCCTCAAATATAACATGACCTCTATATCCACGGACCCTGGGATCCACAGTTCCATCAATCCAATATAGGTCCTCCCTAGGCATTTCCTAGGTCCTCCAGTGTGAGTCTATTATTATTATTATTCGCCATTTCCTCAAATATAACATGACCTCTATATCCACGGACCCTGGGATCCAGAGTTCCATCAATCCAATATTGATCCTTTCTAGGCATTTTCTAGGTCCTCCAGTGTGACTCCATTATTATTATCATTATCATTATTATTATCCGCCATTTCCTCAAATATAACATGACCCCTGTATCCGCGGGCACTGAGATTCACAGTTCCATTAATCCAATATAGGTCCTCCCTAGGCATTTTCTAGGCCCTCCAGCATGACTATTATTATTATTATTATTATTATTATTATTATTATTATCCATTTCCTCAAATATAACATGACCTCTATATCCGCGGACCCTGGGATCCACAGTTCCATCAATCCAATATAGGTCCTCCCTAGGCATTTTCTAGGTCCTCCAGTGTGACTCTATTATTATTATTATTATTATTATTATTATTATTTGCCATTTCCTCAAATATAACATGACCTCTATATCCGCGGACCCTGGGGTCCCCAGTTCCATTAATCCAATATAGGTCCTTTCTAGGCATTTTCTAGGTCCTCCAGTGTGACTCCATTATTATTATCATTATCATTATTATTATCCGCCATTTCCTCAAATATAACATGACCCCTGTATCCGCGGGCACTGAGATTCACAGTTCCATTAATCCAATATAGGTCCTCCCTAGGCATTTTCTAGGCCCTCCAGCATGACTATTATTATTATTATTATTATTATTATTATTATTATTATCCATTTCCTCAAATATAACATGACCTCTATATCTGCGGACCCTGGGATCCACAGTTCCATTAATCCAATATAGGTCCTCCCTAGGCATTTTCTAGGCCCTCCAGCATGACTATTATTATTATTATTATTATTATTATTATTATTATTATTATCCATTTCCTCAAATATAACATGACCTCTATATCTGCGGACCCTGGGATCCACAGTTCCATTAATCCAATATAGGTCCTCCCTAGGCATTTTCTAGGCCCTCCAGCGTGACTATTGTTATTATTATTATTATTATTATTCCATTTCCTCAAATATAACATGACCCCTGTATCCGCGGGCACTGAGATTCACAGTTCCATTAATCCAATATAGGTCCTCCCTAGGCATTTTCTAGGCCCTCCAGCATGACTATTATTATTATTATTATTATTATTATTATTATTATTATTATCCATTTCCTCAAATATAACATGACCTCTATATCTGCGGACCCTGGGATCCACAGTTCCATCAATCCAATATAGGTCCTCCCTAGGCATTTTCTAGGTCCTCCAGTGTGACTCTATTATTATTATTATTATTATTATTATTATTATTTGCCATTTCCTCAAATATAACATGACCTCTATATCCGCGGACCCTGGGGTCCCCAGTTCCATTAATCCAATATAGGTCCTTTCTAGGCATTTTCTAGGTCCTCCAGTGTGACTCCATTATTATTATCATTATCATTATTATTATCCGCCATTTCCTCAAATATAACATGACCTCTATATCCGCGGACCCTGGGGTCCCCAGTTCCATTAATCCAATATAGGTCCTTTCTAGGCATTTTCTAGGTCCTCCATGACTATTATTATTATTATTATTATTATTATTATTATTATTATTATCCATTTCCTCAAATATAACATGACCTCTATATCTGCGGACCCTGGGATCCACAGTTCCATTAATCCAATATAGGTCCTCCCTAGGCATTTTCTAGGCCCTCCAGCGTGACTATTGTTATTATTATTATTATTATTATTCGACATTTCCTCAAATATAACATGACCTCTATATCCGCGGACCCTGGGATCCACAAGTTCCATCAATCCAATATAGGTCCTCCCTAGGCATTTTCTTGGTCCTCCAGTGTGACTCTACTATTACTATTATATTTTCTATGGCCTGCTTGGGCTGGAAGCTCTCCTTTTCAATAGAGCCTGCTGTGATCGGGCGTCCAGGAGCATCCCCTCCAGGCAGCGACAGATGCTCCCTCTAATTTATATGCCTCCATAAAGGAAGCGCCATTAAGGAAATGCGCATCTAAATGATTTTTCATCTTGCCGGGTCAGGCGTAATAGGCTCATCCGTCTTCTTCGCAAGGAGCTCAGGGAGGCCTTGTCAGGCCCCATGGAAAGGCCCAATATGTCCGTCTTTGGCTCAGAAGCGTTGTGTGTTCCTCCCACAGACGGACGCCCTTGTGGGTCCTGGGGCGCCCCGAGAGCCCCGAGTTCCAGAGTTACCGGCGCACCATGGAGTGCCATCATGTCCCCAGCGAGGAACTGGCCCCCGAGGCTTTTGCACAGAGGTTCCCCGGGTTCCACCTGCCCAGCGAGGAGATGGCCGTCTCAGACCTCTCCGCAGGGGTCCTGTTCCCGGATAAGGCCCTTCGCGTGGTCCAGGTAAGGAAGACCTGCCTCTGAGTCAAGGAGAAGGAAGAGAAGTTCCCTCCCAGGTAGATCCCCCTCTCCCCTTCTTCTTTGTGGTCTTTCTTTTTTCCCCTACCTTCCTTCTCCTTCTTGGCTTCCTCTCTTCCTTCTTTGTTTCCTTATTTCCTTCCTCTGCTTTTCTCCCTTCTTTACTTCCATCTACTTCTTTGATTGCTCCCTCTTTCGTTCCCTCCTCCTTTGCATCCTTCCTTCCTTTTTCTTTGCTTCCTTCCTTCATTCCATTTCTTCATTGACTTACTTCCTTCTTTCCTTCTTTCTCTCCTTTTTCATCTTTGCTTCCTTATGCTAATCTGCCTTTTCTTTGTTTCCTTCCCCCTTTCTCCTTCTTTGCTTCCTTCTTTCCTTCCTTTTGCTTCTTGGATTGCTTGCTCCATCCTTTTGCTTTGTTTCCTTCCTTCCATCCCTCTTCTTCTTTGTTCCCTTCCTTCCATTTTGTTTCCTTCCTTTTTCTCTGCTCTTTCTCTCCTTCTCCTTCTTCACTTCCTTATTCCCTTCCTTCTGTTTCTCAGATTGCTTTCTCTGTCCTTTTTGTTTCCTTCCCTCCTCCTCCTTTACTTCCTTCTTTGCTTCCTTCTGCTTCTCAGATTGCTTGCTCCATCATTTTTCTTTGTTTCCTTCTTTCTCTCTCTTCTTTTGTTCCCTTCCTTCCTTTTTCTTTGTTTCCATTTCTTCTCCTCCTCCTCTGCTTTGTTCCTTCCATTTCATTTCTTTCCTTCCTTTTTCTCTGCTTATTTCTCTCCTTCGTCTCCTTTGCTTCCTTCTTTCCTTCCTTCTACTTCTCAGATTGCTTGCGCCATCCTTTTTCTTTGTTTCCATCCCTCCCTCTTCTTCTTTGTTCCCTTCCTTCCTTTTTCTTTGCTTTCTTCCCCCCTCTTCCCTTGCTTCTTTCCTTCCATTTCGCTTCCTCCCTCCCTTTTTATTTGCTTCCTTCTGCTTCTTGGATTGCTTGCTTCATCCTTTTTTCTGTTTCCTTCCCTCCCTTTTATTCTTTGTTCCCTTCCTTCCTTCTTTTCTTTTTTCTTTGCTTCCTTCCCTCCTTCTCCTTTGCTTCCTTCCATTTCGTTTCCTTCCTTTTTTTTTGCTTCTTTCTCTCCTTCTTCTTTGCTTCCTTCTGCTTATTGGATTGCTTGCTCCATTATTTTTTGTTTCTTTCCCTCCTCCTCCTCCTCCTCCTCCTTTACTTCCTTCTTTGCTTCCTTCTGCTTCTCAGATTGCTTGCTCCATCATTTTTCTTTGTTTCCTTCCCTCTCTCTTTTGTTCCCTTCCTTCCTTTTTCTTTGTTTGTTTTCCTCCACCTCCACCTCCTCCACCTCCACCTCCTCCTCCTTTGCTTCCTTCTTTTGTTCTATTTCTTCGTTTACTTCCTTCTTTCTTTCCTTTTTCTTTGCTTCTTTCTCTCCTTTTTCTTCTTTCCTTCCTTCTGCTTCTTGGATTGCTTGCTCCATCCTTTTTTTTTGTTTCCTTCCCTCCTGCTCCTCCTTTACTTCCTTCTTTGCTTCCTTCTACTTCTCAGATTGCTTGCCCCATCATTTTTCTTTGTTTCCTTCCCTCTCTCTTCTTTTGTTCCCTTCCTTCCTTTATCTTTGTTTCCTCCTCCTCCGCTTCGTTCCTTCCATTTCATTTCCTTCCTTCTTCTCTGCTTCTTTCTCTCTTCTTCTTTGCCTCCTTCTTTGCTTCCTTCTGCTTCTCAGATTGCTTGCTCCCTCTTTTCTTTCTTTCCTTCCCTCCTTCTTTGCTTCCTTCTGCTTCTCAGATTGCTTGTTCCCTCTTTTCTTTCTTTCCTTCCCTCCTTCTTTTGCTTCTTTCTGCTTCCTTCTTTCTTTCCTTCCCTCCTTCTTTTGCTTCTTTGCTCCCTTCTGCTTCCTTCTTTCTTTCCTTCCCTCCTTCTTTTGCTTCTTTGCTTCCTTCTGCTTCCTTCTTTCTTTCCAGAAGAGATTGTAAAAAAGGAAGAGAGAAAGGGGGAGGAGAGGGAGGAAAGAAAAGAGGGAAGGAGCAGGAGAGGAAGGAAGAAACGAATGAAGAAGGAAAAGCACAAAAGAGGGAAAGAAAGAAGGGAGAGAAGCAAGAAAGGAAAGGTAAAAAAGGAAGAGAGAAAGGGGGAGGAGAGGGAGGAAAGAAAAGAGGGAAGGAGCAGGAGAGGAAGGAAGAAACGAATGAAGAAGGGAAAGTGCAAAAGAGGGAAAGAAAGAAGGGAGAGAAGCAAGAGAGGAAAGGTAAAAAAGGAAGAGAGAAAGGGGGAGGAGAGGGAGGAAAGAAAAGAGGGAAGGAGCAGGAGAGGAAGGAAGAAACGAATGAAGAAGGAAAAGCACAAAAGAGGGAAAGAAAGAAGGGAGAGAAGCAAGAAAGGAAAGGTAAAAAAGGAAGAAAGGGGGAGGAGAGGGAGGAAAGAAAAGAGGGAAGGAGCAGGAGAGGAAGGAAGAAACGAATGAAGAAGGGAAAGTGCAAAAGAGGGAAAGTAAGAATGGAGAGAAGCAAGAGAGGAAAGGTAAAAAAGGAAGAGAGAAAGGGGGAGGAGAGGGAGGAAAGAAAAGAGGGAAGGAGCAGGAAAGGAAGAAACGAATGAAGAAGGGAAAGCGCAAAAGAGGGAAAGAAAGAAGGGAGAGAAGCAAGAAGGAAAGTAAAAAAGGAAGAGAGAAAGGGGGAGGAGAGGGAGGAGAAGAAAAGAGGAAGGAAGAAGGAAAAGGAAGGAAGAGAGAAGAAGAAGGAAGGAAGGAAGGAAGGAAGGAAGGAAGAGGGAGAAGGGAGGGAGAGGAAAGGAAGGGGGGAATATGAGCGGAAGGAAGTAAAGGAAAAGCACAAAAGAGGGAAAGAAAGAAGGGAGAGAAGCAAGAAAGGAAAGGTAAAAAAGGAAGAGAGAAAGGGGGAGGAGAGGGAGGAAAGAAAAGAGGGAAGGAGCAGGAGAGGAAGGAAGAAACGAATGAAGAAGGGAAAGTGCAAAAGAGGGAAAGTAAGAATGGAGAGAAGCAAGAGAGGAAAGGTAAAAAAGGAAGAGAGAAAGGGGGAGGAGAGGGAGGAAAGAGGAAAGGAGCAGGAAAGGAAGAAACGAATGAAGAAGGAAAAGCACAAAAGAGGGAAAGAAAGAAGGGAGAGAAGCAAGGAAGGAAAGAGAGAGGAAAGAAAGTAGCAGCAGCAGCATAACGGCAGAATAAATAACCATAAAGGCCCTCCGTCCCTCCTGGCTGCTGAGTCAGATCCAAGAACAGTGCCATAAAACACCGCCGGCTCCCTCTCTCCATTTCCGTTCGTTCAATGAAAAGCCGAGCAGCCAGAACGTTTCAGCAAAACAAAATGCTTTGCCATAAAAACTGAGAAAGGAGGCACGTCCAGTGGGACCAAAGGGCCCGGCGATGATATAAAAAAGGGGCCTTTACGGCAAATCATCAAAAGCGGGTCTTTCGCAGCTTTTAAGGGATGGAAATCCAGTGTTCTAGGTCATTCTTTAGATCCAACCGGTTTCGCTGGGCATTTTGGGGTCGGAAAATCTACCAGTTCTGGCCAACCGCGCCAGATTCGACGACAAGGCTTTTTCATCCAAAGCTTTGGTCTCTTTTCCCACCTTTCTTCCCAAACTTTAGGACCAATTCCGGCAGAGCGGAGGGACCATCCGTGATGGGGAGAAGGTGCTCCAGATCATCCCGGGGTCTGTAGTCAGGGTCGTCACCCCAGAAAGGGAGTACCAGGCCAAAGGGATCGTGGTCACCGCCGGGCCATGGACCGGACCGCTGCTGGCGCCTCTGGGACTCCACCTGCCCCTCCAGGTGAGCAGCTCCACCTGCCCCTCCAGGTGAGCAGAACCACCTGCCCCTCCATGTGAGCAGATCCACCTGCCCCTCCATGTGAGTAGTTCCACCTGCCCCTCCAGGTGAGCAGATCCACCTGCCCCTCCAGGTGGGCAGATCCACCTG